AAGGGAAAGACAGTGTAAGTATCCTGAGGGTATCTGATTCTTGTTTGGGGTGATTTAGGGGTGAGAATAGGTGATGGGAAGAATTGTGTGTTTTACGTGCCTGGGATCAGCTTGGGATGTGGATAATAGGAAAGGCAAACTTGATATTTTATGCCAGATTAGAGCTCACAATTGTCATACAGGGCACAAACCCTCAGACACCTGGTGAGTGGCAATGAAGTTGCCTTCCTCTGCAGGTTGGTGCAGCATAGCCCTCGTGAGACCTGAATAACATAGCTATAAAGAGTGGTCCTCAGTCTTTCCTGGGTTACTTGGAAAGCATGAGTCTCCCTCAGGAATACCATTTAACTCAGGATAAAAGTCTCCTTTTTGCTCTTTGCTGAAACAATGTTCAGATAGCACTTTTGATGTTGGGTCTGCACTAAGTCACCCCAGAAAGCTGTTAGATAGGCCCAGTTGCTAGGTATCTAATGGGCATAACACGTGGAGGTAGGGGAATGTGGGAGCGGCATTATCTTGTGCCATCAACTCACCCCGCTCCACAGGCTCAGCTGCCACACCCTCAGGCATGATTGCTGTTCTTTGGGGCTCATTCCTGCTCTGGTTTCACATCTTGAAAGCCCAGTATGCAGTGTTCACCAAAGAGGGTGATGGGCCATCTCTGTTCTGTTTTCATCAGTGCGGCGTGCCCGAGCCTTGCCCTCTGATCGTGCTATGGAGGACGACAGTGATAGCGAAGAAGAGCTCGCCGCCTTCTGTCCTCAGGTAACATGGAGTTAGGCCCACGAGGCGTTTTGTTTCCTTACCAACTTCCTGATAACCATGTGGCACCCTGTGTGTAGGCAACTCTAGACACTGACATTCTCTAGAGGGGTTATGACAGAAACAATGGCCAGTGTGCCCAACTCTGCCTTTCCTTTGACCTCTGCAGGAATGATGTGTTAGGATGTTTTCCCTAGGAAACTTTGCCTCAAGCAACCTAGATGGTGACTAAGATCCTCGGGTTTGCCTGTGTTGTATTGAAATTAAGGTGCTTGAAAAAGGATGGTTTTAGGGTTTATTGGCTATGGATGTGTGGGTGGTATTTGCCATTTTTATTTACATTTCCATTGTCTCAAGCCTGGCATTTATTCTCAGGTCTTATGGCTGTGGGTCTTTCTATGACCATGTCTGAGAATTCTACCTAGTGTCTACTCTTAACAAGTGATTAAGTGGTACTCTTAATAAGATTTATCTGTCTTCTTCTCCCCTTAAGTTGGATGACTCCACTGTGGCTAGGGAATTGGCCATCACAGATTCAGAGCACTCAGATGCTGAGGTCTCCTGCACAGATAATGGCACATTCAATCTGTCAAGAGGTCAGACACCGCTAACTGAGGGATCAGAAGGTGAGGCACTACCCACCACCCCTTCCCCCTGACACACACCCTCCCCTTAGCCCAACAGAGGCTTGACCATGTTTGTTAGCCCATCTGGTGGAATGGGCTGTCACCCAGTATAGTAGAAGAGGGGTATCACCAGTCCCCTTATTTTAGGATTAAGTGACTTAAGAGTTTTGAGGTTGTAGTACAGCAGGCAGAAGGTTAGATGTGACCAAAGTCAAGGTGTAGGTAGAATGGCTTTTAGAAACCTTTAGCCTTTTAGTAGCCTCATATTCCAGCTGCTGTGTGTGGCAGGGATTGGGAAACTCCTGTTTTGGAAGTGGTTGTGTTTGTTCCTAGAGAGCCTGTATGAGTAGGCAGGGGGAGCATAGAAAGATAACTTTGCCCAAGCATCATCTATTCAGACCTATAAGTAGAAGAAAGGTAACCAGTCACAAGTGTTTGAATTCACAAGGTAAAGTCTTGGGTGGGAATGGCCTCTGATTATATGTAGCTGGCTCTGTTCATGGGTGGGGTAACATGAGGATGGGAAGTGGTACAGGGAGCAGCAAACATTTTTCTGATCCTTCCTCGTTCTCCCTAGATCTGGATGGTCATAGTGACCCTGAGGAATCATTTGCCCGGGACCTCCCTGACTTCCCTTCCATTAATGTGGATGCTACAGGCCTGGACGATGAGGATGACACCAGCATAGGGCTTCCCAGCCTTGCCTATCGTTCCCCTCCAGGAGCTGAGGAGCCCACCACCAACCAAGATGAGGCTGCCCTGCCTGAGCTCTTACTCAGCACTCTTCCCACAGGAACCAACCTCACCAGCAATCTTGCCAGCCTGGTCTCCCAGGGTATGATCCAGCTGGCCCTGTCAAGAGCCCAACAGCAGGCACCCCCTGCTGCCCCTCAAAGAGTTGCACGAGGTTTCCTAAGGGCCCCCAGCTCTGATCTGGACACTGATGCTGAAGGGGATGACTTTGAACTGCTAGACCAATCAGAGCTCAATCAACTAGATCCTTCGAGCTCTCGGAGCCACTGAGGCACATCCTCTTTTCGGGGAATGTTTTGTGGTTTTGGTCTTTTTTCCCCTATCTCACTGGGGATGATGGAGGCAGGGAAAGAAGAATCTGGGTCCCACCTCCTAAATTTGATTATCTGTGTACATTGTTGGCTAGCCATTTGGGCCCCTGCTTAGAGAGGATACTACCCGGTCTCTAGCTGGACACCCATTTATGAGCTCAGAGTCATAGATGATGGAGGCAAAACTCCTTAAGTAAAGCTTCTTCCATCAGGATAATACTTTCTTTGCTGGGAACAAGGGAGTTTGATGAACTGGCCCCTGGGATTCATTGTTCCAGAGTTTCTCTCCTATGGGATGATGTTTGCTACAAGGTGTGGGTGCTCAGGGACCCTATATAAAACAACTGCCCATCTTCCCTTCCCTTAAAGCCAAAGTGTGGAATGGCTCTTAATGCAGTGGGGTGGTGCTGGAGGCCCCTGGGGCCAGCTGCTTGTGAACTGGGAAGGTTTCATTGCTGTGTCTCTCTTAATCATGATTTGTTTTTTTCTAAGTAAGCTTGTCCTTGGTTCCGCAGAGCAGGCTTGCCCTACTACCACTTATGGCCTTGTCTCCAGTGTCCAGAAAGACTGCTTTAAAGAAAAAGGGTCAGGGAAAGAAACAATGGGGATGGGGGATTGGGTAGCAAGATCTCTGCTAGAATTGCTGGTTGTGCTGTGGAGTTTGGGGACGGTTCTGGATTTGCTCCCTAGATCTTCTCAGTTTCATGTCAACCCTTGGAGCTTCCCACTTGTCTGTTTCCTTGCTAATCCTTCACTTTATTTAAGCACTAACCTAAATAATGAGCAAAGCAATAGCCTTTTCTGAACTTTACTGTCTTTCCCCTCTCCCTGCCCCCCAGCCACTTGTGAACAACTCGTGGGGCTTGGCAAAGTAGCACTTTAGATGGCTCAGTGGCATTCATTCAGTTCTTGCACCAGCTCTCTTAATTCCTGCCAGCCTCTACACTACTTGTTTTTACTTCTTCCTAGCCTTGCTAGGGACTTCATTCAAGGATGAGTGCAGTTGGCATGAGCATTTTTCCAATGTGCAGCCCCTCTGAGAGGGCCTTTGCCATGCCATAATTCCTTTTGTAATCATTCAAGAGACAAATACATACCACACAATTTCTCTCCTTTCCTGATTCGGGGGAAAATCCCTCAGAGACCACCATATCCCCTGGGGCTGCATCTAGAACCCTGTGCTTCCCCATAAAAGATCTGACCATCCACTTTCCCTCTGCACTAACCCTTTGCTGCTCCTCAGGGACCATTCCTCCTACACTCCCAGACTATGACAGATCGTTAGAGCCCATTTCCATGTGCTGCAATTAGGGGTGTTTTCATTTTTCCTGTAGTTCAAAAAAATACAGGGGGCAGTGAATGAGATATTTGACCAAAGGAAGGGAGAAAAAGTAGCTGCCATATTACCTTTATGTGAAGGTTGAGAAGAGAGGCTCCCCCTTCTTACCACCCCTGGGACAATTCAAACGTAAAGAAAACAGGTGGCAAGGTTTGAAAGTAAGCAGTTATGGAAAGACAGCCGGGATTTCTGGGTTTGCACGAATGTGTGTAGATTCAGGCCCTGGGAATGGATAAGAGGGTGGAGGGTAGGGAGAAAAGTTGAATAAAGTTTCTTAGGGTGTTTACGCTCCTACTATGAATCTGTTTTCCACTGTGAATTGGGGGATGGGTGGGAGGGCAGATATTCGAAAATAAATCTTGTATGAGAAAACCATTTTGTTGTTGATGTTCCCAGTGGAGTAGCCTGCCCTTGAGATCTGTGCGGCCTCAGAAGGGGGAACGGAGAGGGACCTCTCTGTGCCCCCTCCCCGTTTTCCTTCCCCCCTTTTGGTTACAGACAAAACATTCATTACCATTTCTAACATCCTCACCTCGTGTAAGAGACAGGCCTATTTTGAGGACTGATTGGAAGATTCTGACTAGAGGAGTTCAGCAAGCTGCCCGCCTTTTTCATTGGCTTCTGCTCGAAGGGACAGCTGTTCTCCGGCCCGCAACTGATCTCAGAAACTAGAAATATTTATTTCAGGTTCTGACAGATCTATGTGGGCGGAAATGGAAAACACCTGTCAGGTGGCAAACCTCGATCTGGGCCAACAGGAAACTAGCCGCCTCCTCCGTTCCCTGCGATCGATCGCAGCCCCTCCTTCCCCAGCCTCACCCCGTCCCTGTAAGCGCGGGCCTGAGCGCCCCCTGGGGGCAGATCCCCGCGTCTGCAAGACGAGTGGCGCGGTCAACGCGAGCCGCAGCCCCGGCGCTACGAAGGGCTTCGGGGTCGGCTCTTAGCCTCAGGTGTGTGTGTTCGCGTAGCCGTCTCCCCAGTTAATACGCTGACCAGCGGCTCCTCTCCTCGTCCTGTCTCGAGGCGGAGGAGTTATGTCGTGCCTAACCGGAGGATCCTCCTGGAAGGAAGGAAGGAAACGTGCCCCCCCCCAATCTTCTGAGATGGGGGCGTGTACGCCGCGCTCTACGGTGGCCGAGAAGGACTCCTACCCCTAAAGCCGCCTCCTGGGACGGCCTTGGAGTCACGTGGGCCAACCACCGCGCTCGGTCTCACCCTGCCAGTTCCCGGAAGGGGGGGGTCGCCAGGTGGCGGCCGCTTCCGGCTGTTTGACTGGTGGCGGGAGCGGAATGAGTAAAGGCCGTGCGGAGCAGGCTGCAGGTGAGGCTCGGGTCGGGTGCCCGGGGACAGTAGGAGACCGGCCGGCACCGGCTGCGAAGTGACTACTGTCGATTCCCCACAGCCCCCGGGCTTGTCCTGAGTTACCTGCGGGAGCAGAACCGACCCTACAGCGCCCAGGACGTGTTCGGGAACCTGCAGCGGGATCACGGGCTCGGCAAGGCGGTGAGACGCCCCCCGAGCGGCCGAGGACACCTCGGCTTCGGGGGCTTCCAGATCCCGAAAGATGGCCGGAACCCGGCGTGTCCGTCGGGCCCAAACAGGCGGCCCTGCGATGAGGCGGCCACTGGCCAGGGCGCCCCTCCTCACTCCCCCTCCCCTCCCCATGCAAGGCGGGTCTCGCGGGTCTCCCGGTCCTCCATCCCCACCCCGAGCCCATTCTGGCCCCGGACCGGCTCTTCCCAACCCCCGTCTGTCTCTGCCAGGCTGTGGTGAAGGCCCTGGAGCAGCTGGCGCAGCAGGGCAAAATCAAGGAGAAGGTGTACGGCAAGCAGAAAATCTATTTTGCGGACCAGGTGAGGGAGCCGCCTTGGGGTCCGCGTTCAGGGTCGGATTGGCGCTGGGTCATCCACCCCCAGAGCCAGCAGAGCCCTTCAAGGAGCTCGCCTCCACTCTCCCGTGGAAATGCTGGCCGGCTTTTATTAGTTATCACATTGTGTGCCCCAAAATTTGCTTTATGTGACGTTGTTGTAGTCAGTACTTAGCCTACTTAGGCTTTGGGGGAAAAAATCTCAAAACTGCTCTTGCTCTGACGATTCCAAACTTCAGATCTACTAAATTCTTTGCCAGCTTGTATCCTCTCACACCCTTATACGATAACATCTTAACTGGTCACCCCGCCACTGTTGATGTTTTTTCCATTCCATTCTGTCCTGCACACTGCCACCAAGATAAATCTCCTGAAACGTTATTTTAAATAGGACCTCGAGGATGATTCTCAAAAGCCAGTGACTCATCTTCTGTCCCTCTCCAAAGCCCTACATAATATTGTCCTTCTCTACCTGACATGTCTTTTTGTTTTGTTTTACTGTTCCCAATTAGACATCCTTCATTCCAGTCAGGTTTGTGTCATTGTTTTCAAAGATACTGTGCTCATTCTTGAAAACTTCTGTACATTGGCTTATATTGTTCATCTACCCAGAAATGTATTCCCCTTTGCCTATCAAAATCCTTACTGCCCTCTAATCTAATTCGGGTATCTTTTCCACAGTCTTTTACAATTTCAGGCTACAGTGATTTTTCTCATTACAGAGTTCCCATAGCATTTATCATAGCTGCATGGCACTCCTTACAATACTGTTGTTTCTATGTACAGTGTTCTCCTGGTTCTGCACATTGGATAGACGGTTGGTACTGGAGACAAGAAGACCTGAGTTCAAACCCAGCTTCAGGAACTTACTAGCTCTGTGACCCTGGGCAAGTCATTTAACTTCTGCCTGCCTCAGCTTCCTCATGCATAAAATTGGGATAGTAATAGCACGTCCCAGGGTTGCTGTGAGGATTAAATAAATGGTAACTTTTTTTTTTGGCTCAGTAATGGGGTTAAGTGACTTGCCCAGGGTCACACAGCTAGTAAGTGTTATGTGTCTGAGGCCAAATTTGAACTCAGGTCTTCCTGAATCCAGGGCCGGTACTCTATCCACTGTACCACCTAGCTGCCCCAAGTGAATAATATTTCTGAAGCACCTGGTACAGAGTAGATGCTATAAAAATGTGAGCTATTATTAATTACTATTTATTTTAGAACTTAAACTTATAAACAGCAATATGTAATTATGTTTTTTTCTCCTGATAAAACTAAACTCCTTGAGAATATGCAGCATATGTTAGCACTTTTACAAAATACTTATTCACCAAATTAAGTGTGTTGTATCATCCATTTAGTGCTATAAACATATTGGGTGCTGAGCATTGCTGAATTAAATGAGCCAACCTTTGTAAATCACCATTCTCCTTCATGCTTTAATTCCACCTATATTTCCAAGAGTCCTTTTATCTAGAGCAGAGATGACAAACTCAGGAATGCTGCTTGAATCAGATTAAAATGTAACTGGGAATATTTAACAAAACAAATCAAAATACAATAGAATATAATGTTAATGTGTGGTTTTCTAAGACAATATGGGACCTACAGGGATCATTATGTGCCCTAGTCCCTGTTTCTATTTGAGTTTGACACCACTGTTCTAAATGACAGGATTAGGATTTGGGGGATAGGGCAGAATTACTAGGTTTTATACATATCCTTACGTAGTGTGAGTTCTTTGCCTTGAACACTGCTTAGGGTTAGTACCTTTCTTGTTTCCTTGTCACTGGCAGGATGAATTTGATACTGTGAGTGACACAGATCTCAAAGACCTTGACGATGAAATTCTGTCACTCACGTCCAAAGTCCAAAGTATCCAGCAGAGCTGCCGTCACATGGAAACTGGTAAGTGGCCAGGTGGCTGCAGAGAAAGCTAACTCAGAGCTTACCTAGTAGTTGGGAAATTGTTAAATTCTGGGTTTGTTGTTTACAATATTCAGTTCAAATATATATATTTGACCCAAAGGTGGCACAAATGCAACAGAAACCATCAGTGAGTCTTAATCAACTGGTTCTTTCCCCATCCTGTGACTGGAAAATTCTTACCTCCTACACTGCTTTGATTCAGAATTGCTGTATGTTGAGGTCAGCATTCTTTCTCTCTTGCTACTTTTTCCAAATTCTCATCTTTATGTGCTTATCCACACTTTCACCTGTCCGCAGTTCATATCTTCCTGCTTTATTGTTAATGTAGTCCCCTTCATCCTATACATCATCTATATCCTTTCCCATCTCTGGTCCCTACAGAAACTTCTCTTTCTCCAAGGATCCTTGACCACTCTCTCCAGTGCTGGTTCTTTCTCTAGTGCCTTTTAATATATTGGCCCAGTAGGAGTTGTCTGTCCTGTTCCTTGCTCCCTGTTGGCATTTATAGGCCCTCCCCTCCCTCTGATGCCATCAGTCAGTAACTTCTTCATCCATCTTCATCATGATGTCCAGATCCTTGTTGCCATGAACTGGCCTCTTTACTACCTTGCCTTTTTGTCCTACCACCCTCAGAACCTGCCAACCCTTAACTCTTGCTCTGACTTAATGTGACCACTAAAGATTCATATTTCTAATCTCAACTGAGCTCTCCCTGCTGTACAGCAATCCTTTTATTTTTCCATGATTGACTTTATCTCACTCTTCTCAAGGGCTCATCCAAACCTTTTTCTCAATCCCAGGGGTAGGGAACCTGTGGCCTGAAGGTTCTCAAGTACGGCCCTTTGGCTGAATCCAAACTTCACAGAACAAATCCCCTTAATAAAAGGATTTGTTCTGTAAAACTCGGACTTGGTCAAAAGGCCACATTTGAGGACCTAGAAGGCCACATGTGGCCTCAAGGCTGCAGGTTCCCCACCCCTGCTAAGTCTTTGTCACCCCCTACCTATCCCCACTACTTTGCTGAGAAAACTGAAGCCCTCTCTTGTGAGCTCCCTTACTTTTCCTACCCATCTTTACCTTTAGTCTCTGAGGAAGAGGAAGTGGCCTTTTTTTTTTTCCTTTTGGCAGTTGGGGTTAAGTGACTTACCCAGGGTCACACAGCTAGTAAGTGTCAAGTGTTTGGTCTGAGGCTGGATTTGAATTCAGGTCCTCCTGACTTCAGGGCCGATGGTCTATCCACTGTACCACCTAGCTGCCCTAGAGGTGGCTTTTCTTCCTAAGCTTGACTTAGTTCAGCCTCCTGCAGGAGACCTTGGTGTGGGCCATCTGCCAGTCCCTTGTTCAAAAAACCTTGCCTCCAAGGCTACATTCTTATATTCACTGATTTGTGTGTGTTATCTTGCCCATTATAGTATAAACTTCTTGAAAGCAGTGACTGTTCTTGCTTTTTTCCTTGCATCCCTAGTGTTTAGTACAGTACTTGCCACACAGAGCTTGGTTGATTAATCGATCCCCCTTCTCTAGCTTTGATCTTTGGTGATCAGTTCTTCTCAGTCTCTCCCATTGTACTAGTACCTTCCCCGCTGTCTGTGAATTTCCCCAGGTCTTAACTCATTCTTAAAATGCTATTATTTGACAGCCAGCCACCCCTAAATTGTGATCCTTTATCTTTCCTCCTTTTTACTGCCAAGTTCATAGAAGTGTGTAGGGGCTCCCTCCAATTCTTAATGGCCATTCCTTTCTCAGCCCCTTATAATCAGACTTTCACCTGTACCAGTCTCCTGAAACTGCTCTTTCCAGGGTTTCCAGTTTCTTAACTGCTAACTCCAATGGCTTTTTTTTTAAACAATCCACATCTTCTTTTGTTGTCTCTGCAGCTTTTCATACTGTTGACAGTCCCTTCTTCCCAAATCATCTTCTCTTGGCTTCTGTGACACTACTTTCTCCAAGTTCCTCTTCTATATTATCTTACTAGTTCTTTTTAGTCTCCCTTCCCTATTTCATTCATTTCCTTGTTCCTTAAGCATAGGTGTCTCTCAAAGGTCTGTCCTGCATCTTCTTCTTAATTTTACCCTTCAGTGATCTATGTCATCAGCTTTCATTGAATTAATTGTATACTATATGTAGATGACTCCCAGATCTATATATCCAGCCTTAATCTGCATCTCAAACTCAACGTGTCCAAAATGGGAACATAAAACTTTCTCTTGATATCTGTTCTTCTAAACCTCCCTATTTTCATTAAGGCAGCTGTCATCTTTCCAGTCACACAAGTTTGTAACTTCAGTCATTCTTAATTCCTTTTTCTGTACATCCCATGTTCTCACTTGCCAAGTTGATTCTGCCTCCGTAACAACTCTTGCATCTCTTTCTACTCACAGGGACACTTTCTTATCTCCCACCTGTACTATAGCTTCCTAATGGGATTCCAATCTTCTCTTTAATCCATCCTCCATTAAGCTGCCAAAATAATCTGAGAATGGGAAAGCCAGTCCCTTGTTCAAAAAACCTTCACTTTTTAATGATGAAAAACACATTCCCTAGCCTGGCATTAAAGGCTTTCCACAATAATCTGGCTTCAACCTATCTGTCCAGCACTAACTCATTATACTCCCTTCTATATAATCTGGACTACTAGATGTTCTCCAAACTTTACATTTGTTCTCCTGCTTGCCTGTAATGCATTTTCTTCTAACCTCCTGTTTTCCAGATATAGATCTTCCTTCAAAGCTCCTCAGGTTCTAGGTCTATGATAATCCCTAGTAGTTCTCTTTTTCTTTGAATTACCTTGGTTTAATTTTCTGTGTAAAAATTCTCTCTCCTCCTTCCCTCCCTCCAAATAATAGGTTCTTTAGGGGCTGTTTCATGTTTCTTGGTAACCCTAGTACTGTGCACAGACATTTAGAACTAACTTGAATTTCACCAACTTAAGAAACATGATGAGATAGGATTTTAGAACTGTTGAAAAATACAGCCTTCTTGTAGTCCTTTCTTTTTACACCTTCTTTGGTGACCCCACTGTTATGAGTGACTCCCAAATCTCCTTTTCTATTTCCCTTATCCTGAGCTGCCAGGTTAATGGGGAATATAAGTCCCTCAGGAATAATTATTAAAGTTGGTCTGGCTTTTTTCAGAGCTGAAAGAACTGAGTAACTCCCTGACTACACCAGAGATGTGTAAAGAGATTGAGGAGTTAAAAAAAGAATGTGCCAATTATACAGAGAGGCTGAGTAAAATCAAAGCAGCTACCAACCATGTGACTCCAGAAGAAAAAGAAAAGGTAAAGGGGATAGAGGAGGGGAATCATTCATCGGAGTGACTATTGGAGGCTTGGCTCAACTGAAGCTGAGTGGGTGATTCCTAAGGAGTTAGAGGAATCTTTTGGGTTCATCCCCAGGTGTATCAGGAGAGGCAGAAGTATCACAGAGAGTGGAGGAAGCGGAAGAGGATGGTAAGTGTCAGCACAAACCCTGGGAAGGCTCTTTGGAGATGGGGCAGGGAGGGGCTGGAAAAGAGCACTAAACATCTTAACAACTACCCTCTACTTTTTCTTGTTAGGCAACTGAACTGTTTGATGCAGTTCTTGAGGGTTACCCCAAGAGTAAGAAGCAGTTTTTTGTAAGTGTTGTCTCCCAACCTCTCTCCCTTTTTTTTCCAGGCCAGGTACCTAACGTGGAGGTAGGTCTCAGTTGACTTTTCTCTTTGCCCTACAGGAAGAAGTTGGAATCGAGACAGATGAAGATTATAATGTTGCCCTTCCAGACCCCTGAGGAACTTCTCTCCAAATAATGTTGAAGAGTCAGAAGGAACTTCCTGGACTGGTTGTATTGGTGTTGTTTTGGCACTTCCCGCTGTCTTTTGTCTACAGGAGGAGTCTAAACTAAGGGAAAGTGACTAGGCTAATTAGTACCAAGAAGGCAGGTGGTTTTATACATATATTACTCGCATCAGTTTAGTCACAGATTTGACTTGATAAATTCAGAACGAATTTGGGCTTAAGCATTTAGTAAAATTTATTGCAATTACAATTTGATATAAAAATAGTTTCTATTGGATGGTAAGCCTGAAAAAAAGGAGAGGGGCTAGGCTTCTATGTATCTGAGACAGAAGTTTATCCACTCTCCCCTGGCTCATTTCTGATAGAAATCGTGGTAGGAAGTGGACAGGAGAATGGCCATCTATCCCTAATGAACTCTTCAAGTGAAAAGAGGTGGCGTGTAAGCCTGAGGTACCATAAGACCTGCCTGACTTAAAAAAATTAATAAAATTGTAAGCTTAAAAAGATTACATTGAAAGAAAAGTTAAGAAATTTGTTGTAAGGTTTCTGATCACCGTGGCAGACTCCCTACGGATAAAATCCCCATATAACATGCTAAAAATTTTTTCTGTGCCAGGGACAGACATGACAGCACCACTGGGGATAAGTGCCAGTGGAACTCCATGATTACATAAATACTTTCTCTGCCTCCAGTTTCTTGCCAGAAATGATTTCTAGGGGACAAATCCAATGGCCCCTAGAACTCCCACAGGTTTGAGATGGGTTTGCTTAGTACTGATAAAATAAATTAGTCAGAAACTGTCCAAAACCCAGCAAACAAAGCAAATGTGTTCTGTCTGAGATGTCAGAAGCAGAACTCAACAAGCCTCCCTGTTCCACACTTCCAGCAGCGTTGGCTGAAACGCTAGCGTCAGTAGAGCTGGTTTTTCAGTTGGTGCAGCACCCCAGTAACAATCTCCTGGAGGGTCTAGGGATAGGAAAAAAGAAGAAAAGAGGGATGAGTCTAGGCCAAGATCACACCTCCAACATCATCTCTACACCCAAAAGTAGTAATCTGCCTTTTCGGAAAAGGGGGATGGGACACAAAGGCAACACAGACAGTGAGGTATTTTCTAAAGGTAAAAAAGAGGGCTAGCATAGTGCTTGACATGTAAGTGCTTAATATCTACAGGTTGATTTTAAACTGAAACCAAAAACCAGATTAGACTGCAGGGAAAAAAAAATGAAAGCATAAAAGGAGGCAAAGGAAACTAAAGGTGGATAGAAATTGGAGTTCAAGTACCACCTGTGATATACAGTGGCTCTGTGACTCTGGGCAAGTCACTTAACCTTTCACAGCCCCCAACCATGAATAAGTGGCACAGCAGGTGCCAATCTACATTGCTAAAGGAATTTCCTATACTGGCATCATCACAGATCTAGTGAAAGATAAAGCCACCTTCAACAATGTGTGACTTAGACCACCCTGCCTGGGTGCTGCTGTCAACCAAACTGCTCCCACCCTACCCTATAGTCGTCTCAGCCAGCACACCTGGGGCTTACAGTGCTCCTCAATCCAGCTGAAGACACAGGCTGACAGTTCCTGGAAGCTGGCCACAGAAATGGAGGCATTGAAGGACTGGAACAGAGAGTCCATGATGCCCTGGAACACATTGAACTTGACCTGGTCAGAGACCTGGTCCTCCCCTTCATGAGGGTTATCCTGGTGTGCCTTCACAATCTGCTCATAGTTCCTAAAACCGAGAAAAGACATAATGGTATGTGACAATATCGTCCTTTCCCCGCCTCTCCCCCTTCACACTCCTCAGAGGCCCCTGCCAGTCTTTAAAACCAGAGTTAGGAATGCATTAATACCAGTTGGCCATGAGAAAATAATGACATTGCAATAGCTTATAGGATTGTCTAGGTGCATCCAATTTCAACTAACTACCTGGGCCTAATTGCATAAAGTGGTTATAATTATCCCTGCCCTTATTCTTCCTCTGTACTTACTCAAACTAGTATTAAACACTTGGTATGTATGAGCAAGATATTTAACTGGACAGCAAGATAAAGTGTGAATATCAGAAGACGTTGTCCCTTCCCTCAGCTTTGCCTCTAGGGCTATGTCAATGATGGGACAGTCATCAATTCCCCTTTCTGGACCTATGTCCCCTTCTGTAATATGAGTTTGACTAAATAATCAGTGACATCCTTTCCAGGGTTATGTTGTGTCTTTCAAAATCATAGTCTCTACCCTGAAGGAGTTTGATCTAACATGATTTTGAAGTTACTGCATTCATTAAAGAAGGATAGAAACAAGCATTTATTAAGCATACTGTGCCCGGCACTGGTAGTGCTAAGTGCCTTAAACATCTCATTTGATCCTCACAACCACCCTGTGAGATAGGTGATGTTATTATCTCCATTTTACAGTTAAGGAAACTGAGGCAGAGGTAAAGTGACTCTACCAAGATCACAAAGCTAATATGTCTGAGAGAAATTTGAACTTGATCTTCCTGAGTCCAGGCCCAGTGCACTATTTAGTTGCCTTGAATGATTCACTTGCTTACAGACTAAAATGATGGCTAAAATACCTGTCCCTAAAGGCTCTCTACTGCTCTTCCCAGTCCTTTCTCCATCTGAGCCTTTACCTTTCCTCCACTTACTTACACTTTCATAATTTTCAGGGCCATGACATCCTTTCGTAGTGTAGAAACTTCCTCCTCCTGTTTCTTCTTCTCTTTATGCAAGAACTGGATATAATCAATGGCTGGAGAGAAAACATGACAAGTTAAGCATGAAGAGTGACACCTTCTGTCTTTCTAGCTTATATCCCCTGGTACCTGCTCCCCTCCCACTCTCCACCCTCTCAGTCCCATACTCTTCTGAAGAACAATGGCTTTGCTGAGCTTCTGGGAGCCAATGGAGAAATCCTGTTGCTGACAGGTGGGGACAATGGCCTGAAGGTCATCGTAGCCTCTCTGGGGGGAGAAAGAAGACGATCATACTAGTACCTAAGTTACATTAATGCCTTCCACCAGGAAGCTTTTCTACTATGACATCAAATCAATACCCATAGAGAAAACAGTAAAGGGAGGCTGTCACAGGAGACATTGCCCAGCAGGAGACTAGGCTCCATGACCTGGAATTAAATGACCACTTCGAGAAGGGGTGGCAGTCAAGGCTGAGAAGCTATATAAGAGGTGCACAGCACATCAATGCCATTT